CCCCAAAACCCCAAAACCCCAAAACCCCGCGTTTAAAGCTTCATGCTGAAATTAAAAAATATTTATTTGAGCAGGTAAGATGTGCAGACAGCTACTGTTTGATATGCCTTTTGAGAATTTTGAGACTTACTTTCTATCTTAAAGAAGATTTAACCGATATATAGAAATTGTACAATGCTTGATCACAGAATAAGCAGCTGCAAAAAGAAATTAGGAAGCTTAATGATCCTTATTTTGGCCACAATTGTTGACTTTTGATATGCCAACTATCCATATGAGTGTATAGATGGGTTTTATAAAGACCAACAGAGTTGAATTCCATGAGATAGTTCTTGAAAGACCTGAAGTAATTCTGACTCCTGAGATACATGAGAGGAGTATATGTTTATAAACACAGACTCTGGCTTGTGCATGAACTGAGATGAAGGGCAATATTTCGATAGAGTCTCAATGTCTTGTCAACTTTGTGGAAGCTCCTGAGCCTACGACTGTATTCATCAGCCAAGTTGATTCAATTGTCCTGAAGACCAATTCTTAGATCTAGAAACACTAAGTTGAGTAGATATTTGAGATACTAAAAAAATTAGTGTAAAGTCAGAACACCTTAACCTTAACAAGGTTTGAAAGAATCCTAGCATTTTTATTGACCATTTCAGCTCAGAAGTTCTTGAATTAGGAACGAGAGCTTACCCATATAGAACAATGAAATCAGCTTCTGCTGAGGTTATAAATCAATATAGCAACACAAGTATAGAAATATCAATTTACACCAAGGACACTTATGTCGAGACTGATACATTTTATGCTTATAATATGTCTTCTGTTAAAATCTTAAGCCACCCTGATTACCAGACAATACACAAAAGAGCATTATTGTGCCTTACTTCTGAAGTGCAAGAAGGTATTTCTAAGAAGGCTAGATATCACCTGCTGAAGTCTACAGATGCGCCTTCACAGAGCAAGAGAAGCCTACAAGGCTACCATTACCTAGATGGAGAGTTTGTGTATGGTAAATAAAGTTGGATTTACTAGTAAATATTATTTCTAACTTTTAGTAACCTCAACAAATTTTGAGATGAATGGGGTCGACCTCTGGAACTAGTAAGTCTTCTTAAAATTCCTGAGTTTTGTCAACTTAGATATCCATAGTTAGATGAAAAATTAATGAAAAATATCCTCAATATCTTATAGCAAAGAGGCAGAATATATGATTACTCCTCACAATCTTCAGAATAAAGAAGTTCGACTTGGTAAGACTTTGTTCTAAATAACTGTTATTAATTTTAAAGCAGAGTATTATGAATTTTTTTAATAATTTTAGGAAAATTTTAAGCTTTCTTTAAAAATCCCATTTAACACTCTCAATTTTGAAAAATAAGTTACCTCAAGAAAAATATGAGTCTGAACAAGCTCTTATTAGATTTTTGGACGATATCCTCTTACTAAAATCTTTCTCAATGTCATGTAAGATTTCATCCCTCCTCATAACCCATTTTGGAAGACGAATCTTTTGAACTCCCATCTCTGTTAAAATGTGGCATTTCTCTGGGAAGCTTTATTCTTACCCTAGTTCCGGATTTTTGTGAAAATTTGCTGTAATTATCTGGAGGTAATTTGCTGAAATAACCTTAGAAATTAAATTTATATGTCTTCTGGACTAATATTTTAATTAACACAAAAATATCTAAAACATTGAGAACTTTATGAGAACGCTTCTTTGGGTTAAATAAAGCTCAGACTCATCACTACAACTTCTGCAAGAGTATTTGAGCATATAAATTAGAATAATTTTATTTCGATTTTTTTAAATAAAATTTCTCTTAACTTACAAAAACGTGACATTTAAGTGATGTCTTCAAAATTAAACTTATCCTATATTTTTAGCTGAGAAGTTAGCAACCACCTCAGTTTGGGTTTTATAGTTATTTCAGCCTCTAATGTTACCAATTCTGCAGGATTAGAAGAGGCTTTGTGTTTCGGGTTTATTAATTTGACATTTTAACCGTAAGAAAAGTTAACAGTTAAAATTATCTACACATATTCAAAATTTTCTTGCTGTTCACCAATATCACCGAATGTTATGAGAGAAGAGTTATTTAGTGACTGCTTGAACAAATGTTGTACAAAGAGCGAAATATCTATGAGTACTTGGCATCATAGCTTTATTAAACATATTCCAAGATTCTTTAGCCAAGTGTAGACTTTGTGATTATTAAGAAATCAAGCTGATATTAGGATCTTGCCTGAGTGAAATAAATTGTTTGAATTGAAATTTATTAAACACTAGTGAGGGATAAAACTTTACTTTATTGAATAATTTCAGGTGAAATCAGGCCAAGAAGGATATCTATATGAACTTTTGTTCTTTAATTAGATACTAATTGGGATGCTTTTTCTCTTCGCCTAAAACTTGGTATGAGTTCTTATTTAGAAGGTAACCTTATTGATAATTTTGAGAGTGAGCATTTTAAATTGAGGAAAGAGACTTTTTGTATGATTTTTATCGTAAAAATACGAAATGTAGGTACTTGTTCTCCCAACTGAGTAATTCACTATGAAGATGCGATCTTGGTTCAATTCTTTTCTCTTCCTATCCACTCTTTTAATTTTTAGAATCTTTTCCTTAAGCATCTAAAATATTTCGTCTTTGCTAATATCTACTATATGATAAATCTCAAATATGTGCTATCATACTTAATCCTCTTTTAGCTTAGTTTAAAGTTTTAGGAATTTTGGCAGCACTTCATCTTTTCTCTCATTCCAGATTCCAGTAAAATCTTTGGTACTTTCTTCAATATTTCTCTCTCAGATCTAAGAATCCTTGAGTGTCTAAGAGTGTACAAGAAAATTTATTAAAGGTTACTTTCCTTATCAAAATTAGAGCTTATTTATATATTTCAGATGGATAAATATTTCTTAAAAAACCTCTAAACCATACTTAATAGATCATCTAAACTATTAAACAATTATTAAGCGAAGTTCAGAGCAGTTAACTAGACGTAAATTTCTCCCTCAATCTCCTTTCTTCTAATTTTTTGAAAATCTTTTGAAATGTCTCCCCCTCCCACTCTTCTGAAAGCATATTCTCAGATTTTAAATTTCTCAAATTTTACTATCTAGCAAACTTGATAGCAAAAAATCGAGCTAATGTTTAAAATTTTGAGGGTTTTTCATTCGTAATGTGGATAAAACATTCAAAATGTTCAAAACTTTAGTCTGAGATTTCTTCTACGTAAAATAATAATTTCAATTCCTTGGAGTTACAATGCAGTAAATACTGATAAGTTAGAGGTTTAACTATAATTTTGCTTCTTTTGGGGGTAAATTATACTCATTTAATGTATCTTCCAACCGCCAGGTCTATGAAATGTATTAACACTATGTGGAAGAGAATGAGGATATTGGCTCAAATCCTTTGGATGCAAATAATCTTTTAGCTCTCCTTGGTTTTTTCAAACGGATTATATATTCACCAACTAATATAGAAAACATGTACATAAACAGCACAGGACTTGGGCTTAAACCTTTGGACCCACTTAATGTTCATCTTGAAAATCTGACTGTGGAGATGGCTGAGTTTTACTTTATTGAACTTTCAAGTATCAATTGAAATTACCCAGAAGCAGAAGTTAGAAGCATGTTCTATGCTAAAAATATTTCCTATGATACTACTTTCGACATCTATAATCAAGGAATTATGATTGTGATCAGTAATCCAGGAAACAACACTCTTATAGACATAGATTGTAGTAAAGCATCTACGCTCATGTCTACTATGATTCCTTGTATAATTGGGGGAATATTACCATTATGTAACCCTTCAGATGACCTAGGATATACTATGCTATTTGATAATCATACGCATGATGGAAATCATATTAAAAATCCGAACGAGTTTATTCATGTTCCTGCTTTCATTTCTCATACTGTACCTTACAGGAAAATAGATATTATACTTAAAAACCAGTTTATTTCAAATATAGACTATGTATCAATCATTGGAGTATATCACTTCTGGCTTACTGGCTCAGAGAGGTTGCATTTATCCAACTTTGTTTGCACAAATTTCACTAAAATGCCTCATTTAATACAAGCATTTAATTTCAAAAGATTTGTAGCAGATGACTTTTATCTTGAAGAAAAGATAAATTTAAGGAACAAAATTTTCGCCCTTTCTTCCTTAGGAGATGTGCACATCAATGGAGTATATTTGAAGAATTATACTAATGTTGGTGGAAGTCAATCTCCTGCCATTGAAATAATTCCCGGCCCTTTGACTAATATCATAGTTCAAAGAATTTTTATGGATACAGTTGAGCTCTATAATGTACCTTTCTGAGATATACGAGCTGGAGCTGGGAAAGTAACGATTAAAGATTCTATCCTAACTGATGTAAAATTTGCAAGAGAGAACTCTTTATTCAACCTCCAAATTGCTACTACGTTTACTTTGTCTAATCTTACATTTAAAAACACTAGATCAGTTAAGACTTTAGACAGTGACTCTAGAATTCTGAATATCCCTGCGTTAAATATTGGGATGATGAACTCATCGGAAATAAAAGATATCAGTATAACAAACTCTTCTGTTTCCTTGTTCAAGATTAATACCTTCATCAATACCACAGATGAGCCAAAGTTATTGACCATCAAATCTATTAAATTTTTAGCCAGTACAATCCATACAAAGAGGGTTCTAATATCAACCAAAGGAGTTTTAATGAACACTAATCTTTCAATAAATATGTCAGAACTGACATTTGAAAATATCGAGTTTACAAGTTCTGGGACTCTGATTGAAATCATGCATCAGCTTCCCACTAATGTCACTTTGTCAGACTCAACATTCAACAATATTACTTCTGGGCTGATCAGTATTGAGGGAAGCAAACAAACTGAAGCCCTCAGCACCTTATTTTCAATGAATAACTGATCTTTTACAAATATCAGGTCCTCTGTAAATGCCTTTATAGCTGTTCAGCAAAAGGCTGAAGTTGTGATAACTAAAAGTTTGTTTACAAACTTGACCTTGACGACATTTATCTCTGGCATCATGAACATTCAAGATAAAGCAAGAATCAAAGTGTTAAATTCTAGCTTTACAAGAAACTCTGCAGCAACAGCAACAATCTTCAAAGTGATATCAGAAGCTGTTGCTACTCTTGACGGTTGACATATTTTCGAAAACTTCGCAATTACAAATGGAGTGTTTGAAGCTGCTTCTTTTGGAGTGTTTAATATAAAGAACAGCAAAATATTTAGGAATTATGCTATCCAAAATCTTGTGGGAAGCGTGTTTATGAGTGTAGAACCATCTAATATTCTAAACACTGAAATATATGAAAATAAGCTTATAAATAGATCAAATATTCCAACTGAGATTTCAGATAGCTGATCAGATTTATGATTTCTTGACCAAGAAATGAAGGAGTACCTAGCTACCAAAGACTTATCAGCAACATCAGAACAAAAGTACTTATTCAAAGTGTTGCAAGGTAATTTGAACATTCTGAATTCAACTCATATCCATGATGAGGATTTGATTCTAAAGTCATTCTTATCAACAGTGAGGGTCGAGAGATCTAGAATTACCAATATGCAATATTCAATATCTCCATTCAACATTCTTGATTCCACATTTACAATTGAGGACACGGAGATCAATGGGGCTCATACAAATTCTGCTCAAGAGGGTTTCATTGTCACAAATTCTGCAACTATCATAATGAAAAATATTTCCTTCACTGATTCCAATTCTCAAATGATGATTTCATTGAGCTCTCATCTTGAAATGGAAAAGGTTAAATTTCAGAATATCACTCAATTTCCTAACTTGGTGTCCGCAAAACTTTGCAATTGGTTCCATCTCAGTGAGATAACCATAGTAGACTCGTACTCAACTAAAAATGAGATCATGAACGTTCAGGACAGTTATAATGTGACACTGAATGACATTAAGCTGGAAAGGATCAACTCTACCTTTTGCTATTTTAAAGACTCTGAAATTCTAGCTATAACAAATATTACAATCTCGAATCTAAGCCAAGGATTTATATTTGTAAACTCTCAAGTTATAAAATTGGCAAATGCAGAGTTCTCTGAGAACTACTCGAATAGCTCAGGTGGAGTTATTTCAATGACAAATTCCAAGCTAAAAATTGAAAACACTACATTTGCTCATAACTCAGCTACTGAAGGAGGAGCAATCATGTTTGAGTGCACTCATATTAACTCTTGTCAACTTGAAGTGAGTAAATCCCGGTTTGAGAACAACTCTGCCACTGTTCAAGGAGGAGCTATTTCATATAATTATAATCCTCCTGAAATTAAGGATACTCAATTCCTTGGCAATTCAGCTCCTTATGGCGATAATTATGCAAGCTATCCAGTAAGGATTGGATATGTCAATAGCAGAATCGATGATGAGATTCTTCAACACAATATTGGGCCTGGAATTAGAAGTAGTCAGAATCTTGAATTAGCATTGATTGATTTAGATGATCAAGTTATGATCCTTGATGATGAAAATCAAATCCTTATTTTACCCTTAGACTCATCAAAATCTTCAGTAAGTGGAACAAATACTGTACAAGTAAAACAAGGAGTTGCCGTCTTTGATAACCTTTTACTGAAGATTAATCAAGAAGAAAGAATTTCAAACTTCAAAATCATATCTAAGTCTATTGATTTGAACAAAGTAAAGCAAGTCCTGGGAAATAGCTTCAGGCAGAAAGATCTAATAGTCAATTTCAGAGATTGAGAACCTGGGGAAAGAATCCTTGGTGATAAGTGCGAAGTTTGAGCAGCTGGAACTTATTCGCTTAGTTATAACTCTACTGAATGACAAAAATGAAACCTTGATGCTGAATGAAGAGGAGGATCAGAAATATACTTGAAACCAGGCCACTGGAGGAGGTTCCATAATTCAACTAAGATTGTTGAATGAATCACTAAAGAAGCTTGAGAGGGTAAATATCAGTCAGACTCCATCTCTCCTTCCGTCTGATCAGAAGGATATACCGGCAATCTGTGAGCTCAATGACTTGTTAACAAAGATGTAAAATATGAGAGAGTCAATGACTATGAATGTAGAAAATGCCCAAATGTAATTCTCAATTCTTTCCAAGTATTGGGGATGATTCTATTAGTGATATGCTTCTACATATTTATGATGATCATCAATGTCAGGAAAACTAGCGAAAGTGAGTTATCAGTATTATTAAGAATACTGGCTAACTATCTACAACTGATATCGGTATCTACTGGAATGTCTAGTAACTATCCATCAATCATGGTGGCAATTTCAATCCCTGTAAAGTGGCTGGGTGGATCAAGTGATGCTTTCTTATCATTTGACTGTTTCATTAAAGACACAGAAATGAATTTTCTATTTGACTCTACTGCGATCTTCAAACTGTTCCTCTTGATGTTCCTTCCTCTGATCTTGTTCATCTTGCTGGGAGCCATTTGGGTCATACTATATTATGCTAAGAGGCAATGGGTGAAACACCTTACTAGAAATATTGTTATAACTTTTATCACTATTGTCTTCTTACTACACCCAAAATTGACAGAAAGAAGCATAAGCATGTTTAGATGAATAGAGATTGATGAAGGCTACAGCGTTGCTGAAATTGATACGAATCTCGAATGATTTGGACCTAAACACATGAAATGGAGCTTGCTTGTGGCTCTCCCAATCCTAATCATTTGGGTAATATCTTGACCTATAATATCCATTGTTTTCTTATATCTTAGTCATGCAAAGACGGGTCATGAAAAGATCAAAAGTTACTTTTTGATATTATACCAAGGGTTAAAGCCAGAAGCATTTTATTGGGAACTAGTAAATACTCTCCGAAAGATAGCTATTTTGCTAACTCTTTTATTTCAAAAAACAGTGTCCATAAATCTATCTTTAATGATACTTATTGTGACTGCTAGAGTCCAAGTGTATTTAAAGCCATACAAGAACCATGAACATTCCAAAATAGAGTTCTTAGCTATAATGGCTGGTGTGTGAACAATCACAGCTGCTCTGGTTTATTCCCAAGATAAACAGAATGAAGTCTTGAATGTGTTCGTTCTGCTATCCGTGATCAGTTTCAACTTAAAATTCATTATAGAATGGCTTTTCTTGTTACTTTTGACTTACCGTGACAAACATAATAGCCTTAAGTCGGTAAGTATTACGAAATTACTTTAAGTTGACAACATTCTTTGGAAAGATTCTGTGCAAACACAAAAGGTAAGATATACTTATTATCTAAACTTAGACTTTACTCTAGCTTCGAGAGTCAAACAAACCAAGGAATTTCGAAAGAAAAGCTAAAAGCGGTTACCACTCAAAGGGTGCTTCGTTTGATTAACCTTTAGGCGCTAAATAAGTCAATTATATCCATTCCTGATTCGCCACGAAACTCTCCTAAAGGTACTTCACAGTTTTGATTATATAGGAATTATTAAAAAGAAGAAGAAACTCAGAAGAAGAAAAATCAAGAGGAGGGTCAAGAGGAAGGCCAAGAGGAAGGCCAAGAGAGAAGAATCTCCTGAGAGCGACAGCTCTCCAATTCAACATGAAAATAATGAGTAAGGGTCCCTTTGGTCTTTCATTGGTTTTAAGTTTTGATTCATACAAGAATATTACCGAAAGTACAATAATTCCTTGATTTGGGGCTAAGAGATAGAGTTCTCAAGAAATAACATAGTAGAATTACCTAGATAGCTTGTTACTCATACATCAAAGATGTGTAAACTGAGTGGACTTTTGTAACTATGTTTGAACTTACAATGCTAACTGTCTATTTCTAGAGCTGAAGAAATTTTGAGAATGAGAAATTACTATCCAAGAACTTCGAATAGGCCAATAATCTCAGAAAAGCAAGTAAGAAATGTTAAGAAAGTGGAGAAATCCATTACTATTTTAACTAAATGATAATGGGGATTTATGATTATATACACATTCAGACAATTTTAATCACCTTTATTTCTCATAAAAATAAAGCTTTTATATATATTTGAAAAGTTGATTTTCCTCAAGACAAATTGAAATTTTATTAATAAATTATAAATTGTTAAATTTTCTTGAGGTTAATTTTTTAAATATTACCATCATACGAAATCCTGTAATATGCTATAAACAGAATTTCTAACCTCTTAATAGGCTCCTAATTCTCCAATCCGATCAAACTCACCCCTTAAGACCCCTATTTACCAAGGACCGGTGAGTCTTTGCCTAATCCCTAGAAAGTCTTAGCACAGAGCCATGACCTCTCATCTAACTCCTATGCACCTTCACCCGAAGCATACAGCACCTACGCGATCGCTAAAAGACCTTCATCCAAACCCCTTACAAAGCAGAAGAACAGAAGGAACAGAACTAAGCGGGAATAAAGTTATTTCTATACGAAAGTTAGCCTGGGGTTTTGGGGTTTTGGGGTTTTGGGG